AACTCTGAGGCTAAAAGATGCTATTCTTTGGTTTTCCTTATACCTTCTATAGTGGCTTCTACATTCTTTAGCTATCTTCTCTTTTTTCCTGACTTTCTTGATCACCTCATTACATACATGAACATCTTTTTGAAGCTATGTATTCACCCACAAATGCAATCAGCTGTGAAGACCAATGAGCTGTCACGGAAAGGAGAGAGGTTCCCATATCTCCTGCATTACCTGGATTAGAGAGTGCCCAAGGAAGAAAATAAGACAATTCTCAGCATTAAAAATAATAAAAATGATATTAATAATGGTTTAACGCTTTCTGAGCTCTCGATCAATGCCACGTGCTGTACTTGGGTAACCTCATTTGATCTTCACAATATTGTCTGTGAAGAGACCTGTTGAGGAAGATACTACTGGCATTGCCATTTTATAGATAAGGAAATAGAGGCACAGAGTTCCAAAGCTGCCAACTACAAGCTGAAATGACTAAGAGTCACATGTTCTATTTATGCAAATTTTTCATGTTTAGTTTATACTATAGCCACTTTAAAAAAATACATATAAAAATAACTTCCTCTCCAAATCTTTCAGTACATTGATGCATTAGGAAGATAATGCTCTGTGTTCCCACCATGTATCCCTAGAGTTGAGTGCCTGTTTGAGAAACACAGCCTTAAGAGTTATCATTAATTTGGCTAGTTAGGGAGTAGTTAGCCTTAAATTTGAGAGGTCTGTGGGCATGGGATGAAGCCTTGGGCAAGGCCAGGGGTGGGGTTGGCATGTGAATGGTGGGTTGGTGCTGGGACACTTCATTCCAAAGGTCCTAGCTGAGTGCCCATTAGGACCTTTGCTAGGATTTGGAGGATATCAAAGGTAGGAAACTGCTTTCACTGCATTTATGATCTAGTCTGGGAGGTAAATTCATACAGTACTTCCCCCTTATTCTAAGGGGATACATTCCATTACCCCCAGAGAATGCTTGAAATTGTGGACTTTACTGAATCCAGTTGCTGCCAATCGGAATATATTTCTGTTCCTGTCTTCCAATCACACATTTAATGCCTTCTCCATCTTAACTAAGCACTTACCATGTACCGTGGCTGAAACTTTTGTACACTGAGGTGTGGCAGCAAAACTAGCATGGATTTCTTTCTCCTTCTTCACAAGATTCATTCTTACTGTAGATCTTAGCAACCTCAGTATACGATTTTTTTTCTTTCCTTATTAAGTCGAGAACATTTTACCTTTTCACTTAAAGGAAGCACTTTCCAGCTTCTCTTTGGCATATCTGAATTGCCGGCATCACTACTTTGCTGCTTTGGGGCCATTATTAAGTAAAATAAGGGTGACTTGAACACAGGCACTGTGATACCACGACGGTAAATCTGATAACCTAGAGGGCCACTCAGTGACTACCAGGCGGGGAGTGTCTAGAGCATGGACCCGCTGGACAAAGGGAGGATTCATGTTCCAGGCGGTCCAGGGCGAGATTTCATCACACTACTCAGGATTGTGTGCGATTTATGAGTTATTTCTGGAATTTCTGTTTAATATTTTTGGACTGCGGTTGATAGTGGGTAACAAACTGTGGGTAAGGGAGACTACAGCAGACTTACAGTTTTGCATCGTTGCCTAATTACTCAATAATTAATAACCGCCTAGTTCAGGTGATGCAGAGAGTGATATAGTCTGGAGTGGTTGGGAAGCCTTCATTGGAACAGGTGAGACCAAAAAAAAAAAAAAAATCCCTTGAAGGATGGGTCACATTTAGAAATAGGAGAGAGGAGAATGATGTATCGACTAACGAGTGATTATGCTTCCCCTTTCTGCTTACTAATACTCATGAACATATTCATTCATATTTTCTTTCAGAATCTTCATGTT